AGGGAGGAAGGGAAGGAAGGAAGGAAGGAAGGAAGGAAGGAAGGAAGGAAGGAAGGAAGGAAGGAAGGAAGGAAGGAAAACATTAGTAGCTACCTGCAAGAAGAGACAAGCAGCTAAGAGATGAGTCACCAAAACAGAAAGGGACTGAAGCAGGCAGTCACAAAAGCCTGACAAAACTGATTGAGCACTTTCCCAATTCTGTTCTTGGGGGCCTGGATCTTACATCCCAGAGTATGTTTCAGCAAACCCTATGACCTGACAAATCCCAATGCAGGCAACTGGAGGAGTCTATCTACTGCATTTTGGCTCCATGATAAGTTTTAGGATACATATCAAACGTTTTCCAGAATAACATGAAATATAATTAGTAATTACCTAATTACCTGCTTAATGCTTACATTTTGCAATTGTGGCTGACCTCAGAGAAGAGGAATGAATCTCTCTCTTCAGTAATTTTCCACAGTCATATAGATGGCAGTGGTAAAAATAAGCAGTTTGATGAAATTATCAAGATGAATTCACTGCCTGTTATTTAACGAGACTCAGATACTCCTGGATTCTGCTGTTGTTTAAATCTTGTTACTGTGGTCTGTTACAGTGAACTAGCAGGTGTGTCTGGAGCAAGAGGTTTGCAATGTAGCAAACATTGCCTGGCTCAGAGGGTTCTCTTGCCTGTGGTAGAAATGAGGGCAGAACAGAAAAGGGGGGTAATCTTCCACCGTAGATGAATGTGGACCACAGCTCTCTCTTTCTTTCTGTGTCTGGACAAAAAAAAAAAAAAAAAGATACCCTGCATAGGGGTGTGTATTTTCAATTTTTTTCCTGAGTTCACATTAATAACACTTAATGAAGTCTATAATGTGTGGCGCAGCAGGCTGGACACTAACAATGTGGACAATTTCCTCCCTTTAAAAAGCTTACTCACATAATAGAAAAACGAAATTGCCTACAAATGAAAGATTTCAATGGACGACCCAATAACGTGCCAGATTAAACAAAGCTCACCTGCACCGTAATACTAGCTCGGGAAGCTATTTTCTTTGTGCAAACTCCCATGCTGATGCCCAGCCCAGCCTCCCTGGCTCAGGGCATCCTCCCCACATCAACCTGCTGAGGAGCTGGGACTATTATCCTGACCACTGTACCAGCTCTTTCTATGCTTCCCAAGACATTGTTCGCTGTTATAAGATGGGGAATTGAAGTGCATAGAAAAGAAACCAATCAACAGAAAAATTTTGGAAGATCAAAAGCAAAAGTAACTATTTCTCAGACCTTAGACCAAAATGTATATTCACATTGCTTGCTTTTCATAACCAAGGGGTTTGCCCCCTTTCCTCTCTAAGGTGATTCTTTGCCAGCTTATCTCAACACTGTAACTCCTTGTCCTACAAACTCCATCTCACCCTTGGGCCACCATGAAGCCAACAGATGGTTCAGAAGGTGAATCTGACTTAAAAATCTATGATGCGCTCACACAATCACTAAGTCTAAGCCCAGAGCTCACACTCACCTGCTACAGATATGATCAGCCACTGTGTCTTGCAAGTCACGTCTTTGGTCTTACAGGGAGGAGAGTACAAATGATTTGGTCAGTCATATCCTGGGGTTCTTGGCCATTCTACCATGTAATACCACCTCTAACAATAATAAAATGGATATTGGAATTAATAGTCATGAGAGTGATTTAGAGAGATAATTTGGTTGCAGGGAACCATGGAGTTGGATTGGCCTAGCTGCCTTGAGAGGCATGCGCCATAGGTTTTTCAGGTTAGAGTCTATGGTTCCTGGGACACAATGTACCTTCTAGTTCCTGAGAGACCAATGCGCTCCCTCAGGCAGCGAAGCGGTCAGACTGTGTCTTAGTCAGGGTTTCTGTTGCTGTGAAGAGACACCATGACCATGACAACTCTTGTAAAGGAAAGCATTTAACTGTTCAGTTCATTATAGTCATGGCAGGAAGTAAAGCAGCATGCAGGCAGACAAGAAGCTATAGAAGAAGCTGAGAGTTCTTACCTCTTGACTCACGGGCAACAGAAACGGGTCTGGGAGACTGAGTGTGGCCATATATGAGACCTCAAAGTCCATTTCCACAGTGACACACTTCCTCCAACAAAGCCACACCCCCTAATAGGGCCCTTTGGGAGCCCTTTTCTTTCAAATCACCACAGGTTGCTTTGTGTTATTCTGGGCACTCCCTTAGAAGTTAAGGAAACTTGACAGGACAGTTTGTCTTACACATCAATCTTGTGTACCCTGTGTAGCTTGCAAACTTCACTGTATCCTAGCAACTACAACTGTATTGATCCTGGCAATTGCCATTATATTCTGTTGCTGACAAAGGTATGAAAAGTCGGATTGCTCTCTATAAAATTGCTCTCACAATTGTCACAGCCTCGATTGTGCTGTGGCCCCCTCCAACCTGGCTTGATTTCATTCCTCACACCTGTATCAGGTGACCTTGGCCTGGTAAGTAAGCATGAGTGCTTGCAATTGGTTATCAGAGTTGAGAAAGTTATAGATACCAGAGGCGGTGGCTAGATTTGACAAATTTCACAATGTTTAATAAAAATTCTTCATTTCTGAAGAAAAGTTGCCTGATTGAGACCAGTACTCCTCAGTCTACTTGTTTCAGTGGCAGGCTCTTGGAAAGGAGGGGGCGTGGCTTCCTTTGCTCCTCCCACTACCTAGCTCAAGTTGCCCAGAGAGGCATGAACTAGCCAAAGTGTGAACAGGTGGCTGGGTGGCGTTGGCACATGCCTTTAATCCCGGCACTCCCAAGGCAGAGACAGGTGGATCTCTGTGAGTTCGAGGTCAGCCTGGTCTACAGAGCGAGATCCAGGACAGACACCAAAACTACACAGAGAAACTCTGTCTTGAAAAAACAAAACAAACCAAAAAAAGTGTGAACAGGTGGGGTGAGGTCAAACGTAAGGCCACAAAAGTAAAAGGTGCCATAGCTGTGGTTATAGAAATATTAATAATCAGAATGGCCCATGCTTTCTGTGCTTTTAACTGCCTCTGACCACTAAAGCTACTATCCCCAGGTCTATGAGGCTCCATCTAGAACGTGTAAGCATCCCTCCATTACAGGTAGAAGATGCAATAGGGACAAATGGAGAGGCCCCTGCTGTGGATAATCCTTGCTTGGTTTGTATCTGTTTGGGTAACTGGCAGTACATGGAATACCCACCCTTTGTAATGTGCCAGCCTCAGACCTCTTACTTCTTATGGAGGATTTCCTCTGGGGCAGCTTTGCCTCCTAGCTCCCTGCCTGCCTGGTAAGTAGCTCTTTCCTCCAAGTCTGAAACACTTCCTCCTGGAGGAGGGAGGAGGATCACAAGGCTCATGAAACTCAGAAGAAACTCCTAACTTAGTAAGCTCAAGAGCTCCCTTCCCAAGGAGATTTTATATATGTGATCTTGTGTGTGGATGCTGCATCCCTGAGTGGTGTAGCTGCCTGCAAGTCTTGCAGGAGCTCCAGGGATGCAGCCTTTGTGAGTCATCACCCATGCTGGGGTGGGCCCTTCCATGATGTAGCAGCCCAAGTCACCCATGCTCCTATGGGAAACCTCTTACCCACGCCCCTGTACGTAAGCCCGGCAAACGCCTTGGTTCACAGAGCTGCATTTGGATGATACCTAGAATGGACATATGCTTATTCATGTCTTCCCAGAAAAGTTATGCACCATAGCCAACCATGAGTCTCTTCCTGGGCACCCAGCAATCTTTGCTACTGTCTGTGGTCTGAATCTTCCTTCCTTCAACGGTGAGCGTCAGGCTTTCTTCCTTCAAACTGTGTCTTTTCTCTGTACATTCTTTCTTACCCCTAGGGTCTTTGATATGTGTTGTTTCTTCCTTGGTAGATAATCCCTGTAGACAGTTTAAACTTATATATATAATTAGTATTCCTTGATGGAAATCATTGGATGGTTTTGTGTCCTGTCTCCTAGCATTTCAACAAGGAATGCTGAGGCCTTTCAATCCATAGCTCTTCCATCCAAAACTGCCTTATAACATCTGACTTCAATGCTCCGGTTAAAGTGGCAAATAACAGTTTCTGGGTGAGCTATTGTTTATTTATTGCTGGCTGTAGAGATTAAACCCAGGGCCTCAGACACACAAGTCAACACTCTACTGCTAGGCTGTATAGACCCAGTTTTTATGCTTCAGTTGACTCAGCAGTCTATCTATGGTCATGGTGCTGTCCCCATTCAAAAGCAGCGTGGGAATAAGAGACTTCAGAAAGATTTTTAAAAATATGACTAGTGTGATTTACTACACTCCTCTTATGTAGATTCAACTCTAGACAACTTCTTTTTAAAAATAAACTTCTTCTGCTATGCAGATTCCTCTCTGGAATGTGTCCCCCAAATCTTTTTTTTCTTTAGGGCAACAGTTTCTCAACCTGTGGGTCATGACCCCTTGGGGGTCAACTGGCCCTTTCACAGGAGTCAGAAATCACAGATGTTTAAATTACAGTTCAGAACAGTAGCAATATTACAGTTATGAAGTAGCAATGAAAATAATTTTATGGTGTGGGGGGTCACCACAACATGAGGAACTGTATGAAAGGATCACAGAATTAGGAAGGTTGAGAACCACTTCCCCAGAGCACACGCTTACCACATTCACTATGAAGATTCCTCCCTGGCTTTTGCATCCTCACTTCCTTCGCTTCCTGTGATCATCTCTTTTCAATTATTTCACTGAGTTTTATACCACTCTTCAAAAAATAGCCATTGCTCATATTATTTAATTAAGGTTAAATTTCAAATTTACACTCACTGTAGAAGGAAATGATCATTTTTTTTCCTCTCTGACATTTTCGAATTTCTCTCTATGGCATCCTAGAGAAACCATCACCACATTGACCCTGACCCGACAGTAGAAGCTGTCTGAATTTTGATGAGCAGAACCTGTGCAAGGCCAAGCAGTGAGAAACACAGTCAGTAACCCAACAAGGTGGATGCTGTGAGGGAGGCTCTGGAAGCCTCGCCTGCCACAATCAGGTATGTACCACAAGTTGGCATCCAGAGTCCAGCCAAAGAAAAAATATCCAGGCATCAGGCCAAGAGCAGAGAGAGGTCTCAGCTCAAGCAGGAAAGCAGGCTCTAACGGCCTGAGTAACTTGGAGATCACACAGTAGCTTATGGCTAAGCAGGATGGGGCCCATCTTCTAATCCCTACATTACTGGACACAGTTAGGTTAGCATGCACAGAGCCTCTTAACTTAAGAGTTACTCCCCCAGACCTCTGCACTGCGAAACAAACTGAAGCCTCACAGATGCTGGGCAAGGGCCACAAGAGAGCTGCATCCCCAGCACTAAGGGACTTTCTAAAATATGATGGTAGTCCTGGTCAAGCCTGGTTGCATCACCATCATTATTTCAAAAAATCAAGTTAATTTCTAATTAGCTTCTTGGAGTAATTAAAATATCTTACCATAAATGTGCTTGCTGACCCAATATATATTGTGTCACTAGGAAGGGTTTCTAGTCATGAGACCAGGACAAGTATGACTGTATTTCCTACTTTCTCTTACAGTAAACTGGAAGATATGTGATCCATAAGCAACAAATTAATTCCCCCAATATTGCTTGACCACAACTGAATTCAGCTCTGAGCATTTTTTTGCAACTTACACATTTTCATTTACAGTCTCGGAACACTTAAAATAGGAAAAACTTTCAAATCTATATTTTAAAGAGGCAATTAATTTGTAAAAGCAAAACAAAACCAACAAACAAAATAGCAGTAGAATGGACCAAACAAATTAAATCCTGAGGAGCCCTTCTTATGTGTGTTTGATAGTGTAGTATGCATCTCAGTTACACCCTCAATCCATTGGCTCATGATTCATGCTCTTTGATAACAATTCTACAAGGGTCTTGTGAATATATCAGCAACAGGTGAGAGTTCTTTGAACGTTCATGAAGAAAATCTATTTATTATTGAAGTTTTTTTCAACGCCATGGTATAGTAAGGACACCCACTTCGAATGACAGCTGCCCTGTGGTATCTGCAGAAGACTGGCTCCAGGGTTCCCATGGAAACCAAGTGGATACTCAGGTCACTTTACAAAACAGCAAACAGTACGCGTACCTATGCACATCCCCCTAGATTACCTAAAACCATCTCCAGATCACTTTCAAGGTCTAAAACAATGGAGCGGTGCATAAATATCTGTTAGCCTTGTGTTGTTTGGAAAATAATGATGAGGGGATGAAAGGTACACCACCAGCCCCGACACAATTTGCTTTCCAAGATTTTTGATCTGTGGCTTGTTAAATCTACAGATGTGGCAGCCATGGTGTCCTAATTGGGTTTCTAACTTGAGTGTAGCAAAAATTAAACTTATAGTTAGCCTGTCATCTCCTTTTAAAAAAGAAGAAGAAGAAGAAGAAGAAGAAGAAGAAGAAGAAGAAGAAGAAGAAGAAGAAGAAGAAGAAGAAGAAGAAGAAGAAGAAGAAGAAGAAGAAGAAGAAGAAGAAAGTGTAAAATGTGTTGTTACCCTCCTCACTCGTAAGAGCTTTTGCTTTAGGCCACTAGATGGCAAAATTTGAGATCTTACACGCACGGAAAGAACCATCTCTGAGGCCTAGCCATGGATGATGACCCTCCCTCTGGAAAGTACAAAGTGAGGAAAATAAGAGAAAGAGGATGCTGTTATCATTTGAAGCTGCCCGGCCCTCCTTTCTGAAGGCAGAGCAGTGCAGAGCTGATATCAACTTCAGGAGATCTGTTCTCACCCAGCCTTCTCCTAACTCCCTCAGAGAAATCACTTCCCCGTCTGGACATAAACTTCTCTATCTCGCAAATTCGCTTGAAATGTACCCCTTCCCTTTCTCTGAAGCCAGGACAGCTACTGCGGCTTCTGCGGAGGCGGAGGGATATGGAGGTGCAGAGAGAGACCTCTGCACGGTACTCGGTCTGAGCGATATCCTGAGGGAAACACAGCCACGGCTCCCGTTCCTGATTCTGCCGGGTGTAAGCGATGATTAAAGGTCCTCCGAATCTGTCCTAGTTCTCTGAAACTGACTCAGCCACGTTAACCACCTGCTTCCTCTGAAGAGAGTTTACAGGGTTAATGAGATAATGCTGCCAAAGGCCAGATCTTTGAATGAAAACTGCTAATTATAAGGAGAGCATCAGTGGGCGTGCGCATCGCTAAAGCCTGACCTTGCATCTGTGTCAAAACGCTCCCGAAGCAGGTGACATCATCACCATGGGTAAGAGGTGGAAACCAGGCCCGGGAAGGAAGAGGTATCCAGGAGACAGCCGCTCTGTCTACCAGAATGGCAAAATGTTCTTTTTATTGCTAAGAACTTGTACGGGAGTGGAGACGCAGCCCCACTGAGAACCGAAGATGGAGACAAGAATTTACACACGACGGGGTGACTGACGAGACCCTGAAACATCTGGAGAAGAGAGCGATGGAAAGCAGACATCGGACGCGTTTGTAATTTTAAACACGGCAGTTCTGTGTCCAGTCTGTGGAATATGGTGCAGCTTGGAGGCTGCTAGCTGTAGAAGCCGCTTTATTTCTGTTAAAGACAGAATATACTCCCACAGTGGGGACGTTACCTGGAGACCTTTTTTCTCTTTGACTGAGATATTAATCTTTTTCTTTGTTTTTGTTTACTTTCTTTTTCTTATTCTCCTGTTGGTCCTTCCTGTCCCCCTCCGTCCCTCTGTCTCTCCCTCTGTCCCTCCCTCTGTCCCTCTCTCTGTCCCTCTCTCTGTCCCTCTCTCCTCCCTCCCTCCCTCCTTCCTTCATCCCTCCTTCCCTCCTTCCTTTCTTTTTCTTTCTTTCTTTCTTTCTTTCTTTCTTTCTTTCTTTCTTTCTTTCTTTCTTTCTTTCTTTCTTTCTCTTTCTTTCTTCTTTTTTTCTTTCTCTCTCTCTCCCTTCCTTCCTTCCTTCCTTCCTTTTTTCTCTCTCCCCCTCCCACCCTCTCACCCTCTCTCCCTCGTTCCTCCCTCCTCCCTCCTTCTTTTTCACTCTCCCTATAACATTTCCCACTAGAGTCCTCTCTAATATGGTACATAAAGGCAGTTCTTCTTTAATTTCACTACCGGGTAGGTTTGCAACATGGATCCTCATGAAAGGGGCCAAGGGAGCCCCTAACTGTCTGGTGTCTGAGGACCATTCCCATGCCCCCTCCCTGTTAGAGAAAAACTCTTTCCCCAAAAGCCTTAAACAAAAGCTTGCTTTCATTTCTTCTCCCTCCTTCCTCCCCTTCTTCCTTTTCATCTCTTTTCTCCCCTCATTTTCTGACTAATATTTAGTTTTACCAAGTACCAAGTTCTGGCTTGGGCCCCTAAACATGAACCATAGTTCATCCTGGAATTGTTCCTTTGGGTTTAGGCTTTGTAATCTTCCTGTAGTCAACAGCACACAGACAGCATTCCCCAGACAAGAGCACAGTAACAAGACCATTCCATGTAAGACTTTCGTCAGCATAGCTACCTTCAAGAATAACTTCCATAAATTATTTGTTAGGGCTTTCTTGGAGGATAATTTTGATTAGGAAAAGTTATTTCTTTCTGTTTTGTTTTGAGGATTTGTTTTGGAGGATTTCATTCTGTAGCCCAAGCTAGCTTCGATTTCTGTGTGGCTTAGAATGGTCTTAAACTCGTAATCCTCCTGCCTCAACCCCCCAAATGCTGGAATTACAGTTTACATCATTACACCTAGTCCAAAGGTCTTAAGTGGATTTTTTTCCTACTAGAGAAGCCTTGTTTCCTTTTGTTTTTCTGATTTGGATGACTAGGTGGGATCATCACCCTAGGTTCACAGAGCTAAGAACAACACCCAGAGAGAATGGAAGGGCCCCCTGTGCTACTGCACTGCTCAGATAGGAGCTCACTTAGACCAATAGCCACTGTCCCCCGATATCCTCCAAGTATTGAGCACAGATCAGATGAGCTCTAGTATTTCAGTGCATAACAGAAAATAACCTCTGGTTATCGATAACAGGCTACACAAACCTCCACTCATGACTGGGTATTGCTCTTAACTGACTTTTAAAAATTATCTGTTAATCATGTTCTTTTAAACATGAGTACTTTACATTATTTAAGTAAAAATATGTAGATCATATGAACAGATCCAGAGGAATAAATCAAGATGTCCACTGTTCTACTAACAAGTGTTTATGAGAGATTTTATTCCCCATATTAAATGACTTCACAAATTATCAGTCAATATTCTGTCTTAATAATCTGGAAGCTTGATTTCCCCAGGCATATTTTATATTTAATTTTATGTGCACATTTAAGACAATGAGATGAATTCAGGTAAAGGTCAAGGGAAGTCACACCCAAAGCAATGCCAGAATCATTATTATTGGAATACAGTGACATTAACCAAAAGGACTGGGGGAGCTACTACCAGGACTACAATAAACAGGGCCATATATGTTAACATAATAATTACAGTATTCCATTCACATTAAAGTGACAAGTATTTTATAGCAACCCCCCCACACACATACATAATGGGTTTAATGAAAAGTTACTGAAAACTTCCATTAAAAGATTATTTAAAATTCTGCTTTCAAGGTCTGGGGTGACAGCTCAGCTGACCCAGGGCCTTCCATGCAAGCATAAGGTACTGAGTTGGACCTCTAAGTGTGGCAGCATGTGAGAAAGGCAGATGGGCTAGCATGTTATAACCCCAGATGCTGCAGAGGGTGAGATCAGCATATCCCTGGCACTCCCTGGCCAGGCCACCTTGCTGAACGGGGGAACTCCATGCTCATGAGAGACCCCATCAGAGAATTCAAGGGAGGTGGTGCCTGAAGAATGACATCTGGGGTTGACCTCTGGACTCCATGCACATGCACCTACACATACATGTGCTCCCACATACAAATAAACACACGCCACATGGCTGCAGGATCTTGCTTGTATTCTGCCAATACACAGGGAAAGGGATTTCTTTCCTTTTCTGTTCTTTTTAACCTGTTTAATGGTATGTTGAATTCACTGTGCTGAAGTTGGAAGGCACTTAGCTTCCAATCTCAGGTTCATGATTCATTAACCATTAAAATAATAATAATAATAATAATAATAATAATAATAATAATAACAACATGGAAACAACTTTCATTTAGATTGTGGTTTTGAAAGTTTTTTTCATATAGATTACTCATTTCCATCATATTCTTTCTAGAACTTTTATTTGAAAAATATCAATCATCATCAACCCTGTTCTGCCTTCACAGAGGGATGCTCTTAGATGGAAGGACCAAAGACAGTGCCTACAATCAGAATCCCAGAGAGTGCTGTGTGGCAGTCACTCATGTGAAGAAGTCGGTGCTCTCCTGCATGTAAATATCAGGGCTCAAGAAAAGAGGAGGAAAGCCAATTAGTAGATGTGATGTGTGAACTGGATTCGGCAGCAAACCAAGGCCGCCCACGCCTCTTGTGTCTTCAACGACTTACTAGTGAACAACGTAACAACACTAGCCTGATAACCACAGGTCTGAGATGAAAGGAACGCTGGCTAAAGATGTATTATTCTAAGAAAGATAAACTACTCTTGGCTGATTCCAGCCTGTCTTCCACACATCAGGATTGTGTAAGGCTCTGGCACATGCGTCGCATGGTACATCAAGCACAGGAAGCCTTACTTTTTTTTTTTTTGTTTGTTTGGTTTTTCGAGACAGGGTTTCTCTGTGTAGCTTTGCACCTTTCCTGGGACTCACTTGGTAGCCCAGGCTGGCCTCGAACTCACAGAGATCCGCCTGGCTCTGCCTCCCAAGTGCTGGGATTAAAGGCGTGCGCCACCACCGCCCGGCTATGGAAGCCTTACTTTTTCTCTTGGGAAAATATTGCTCCGGCAATAATCTCTGGGGCTGGGAAACACTGGTCCCTTCCCCACTCGGTACTGGTTTGGGGCATGTCTGCTGTAAGGTTACCCATTCTGCTCTATTCACCTTCATGAAGCATTTGCCATGTGTGTGTGTTTGGGGCAGGAAGCAAAAGAAACACAAACAAGACCAAAACCCCTAGGAACCGGCAAAACATCATAAAACGTACCTTGTTCCCTACTTCTGCAGAGACAAAGGCCGGCAGACTTGTGAGCCTCTGGCAGCCCTTAGGTGGTTTAGAATCCCCCTCCCACCACTAGTTTTGAAAGCTCTTCTTGGCTTAGTCTCATTTTTTCCACCCTTTCTTCATATCTACATTCACACTATCAGAGGCCTAGTTTGTCCCCTAGAAATTCAGGTCCTCTGGGGCTTCAGCACCTGAACCACCTCAGACCAGTAGGAGAAGGTAGAGAGGAAAACTTCAGAGCCCAGCTGCTGGGCTGGCTGGAAGCCTGGCCTGCTCTCTTCAGAGGAAGAGGCCTGAAACTTTAGGATCTGACCTCTTGTTGTCTGGCTTGTCTCTTCCTTCACTATTCCTAAGAGGCACAACAGGTCTGCTCAGGCTCCCATGACTCCATCCTCCAGTACTTGACCCGTGGCTGCAGACTGAGAGAATTGTGCCTGTCGCAGTTTCCAAGACGACATTTTGGCTGCATAAAGACTGTGTCTCTGCAGCTGCTTCCAGCCTCCAAAACGACCAGCCTTCAAAACCTGCCAGAGATGTCGTTCCCATTGGAGACTTCTTTCTGCAGATTTCTACAAGGGACTGCTCTTGACTGGCACTCTGGGGTCATCCAAGAACTTTCCAGCTGTAACCCTGCTGGGGATCTGAACTTGGGTCCTCATGCCTGTCTAACAGATACATAACCAGCTAAACTATCTCCCCAGTCCCCTGTAAAGCACTACCATAGTCACACACACACACACACACACACACACACACACACACACACACACCATGAAGTCAGTTTGGAAATTTTGTCTTTAGTTCCTAATAGTATGTATGAAATAAAGTTTAAGCTGGTGGTGGTAGTACATGCCTTTAATCCCAACCCTCAGAAGGCAGAGGCAGGTGGATCTCTGTGAGTTCGAGGCCAACCTGGTCTACAGAGTGAGTTCCAGGACAGCCAAGGCTACATAGAGAAACCCTGTCTTGAAAAAAAAAAAAAAAAAAAAAAGAAGACAAAGCTTTTCAATCATAATCCCCTAACAACATATGGAGCTGGAACCTGTGTAGTCAAAACTGAAAACTACCAAACTCAAAAAGAACTCAAGTTGTTTTGTTGTCTTATTTTTGAGACAGAATATCAAAAACTTAGTTTAGGCTGGCCTGGAACTTACTGTTTAGCCCAGACAGACCTGAAACTCACAATCCTCTTGCCTCAACCTCCCAAATGGTAGTATTATATGGACTGTAGCTGTGTACCCTCATGCTTGACGTGTTCTCAAGACACATGGACAGAGCCAAAAATGCATTTACCTGGGCAATTATGTCTATGATTTCTGAATAACTATGGCATCTTCTCACACAGGATCGAGCCAAAAAATCTTCCACCAGCCGTGTTCCAATTCCGTAGCCCCTGTGGATGAAGGAAAGTATGATTTGCATAGTAGATAGCAAACTAAGCCCAATGAAATGGGTCACATTGTCTTAGGTAATGGGTTTTGTGTCTGTTCCACAGACCACAGGAGCAGAGGCCAGCATATCTAGGAAATAGGAATTAGTCTCTGCCAGGAGAGGAATCTGCCCGGAGTTGAGACTGGCCCAAACTTGACTGTACATTCAGAGAAGGGTGGTTGGTTGCCTGCAGCCTAATGTTGCTCATGGTTAACTATTGTGAAATGAGGAAAGATGCTTGCTAACTTTTCTGCTTTCGTTGTGGCAGCTGGATACTCGGGCCTCTCTTAGTATGCATGTCGGAGGAGCAGCCTTTACAAGAAGGGCTGTGTAAGGAAGAGGGGAAGAGAGCAGAGAAAGATTCTTTTATTGTCAGTGAAAAGCTTCAGCGTTTAAATTTCTTGCGTTTACCTCCTTCTCTTTTCATGCCCCCTCCTTCCCACGTGTGTGTGTGTGTGTGTGTGTGTGTGTGTGTGTGTGTGTGTGTGTACCTGTAGTGGTAACTGACGTACTACTGAGAAAGCCCTTTACGGAGGTGTCATAACTGAGTAAGTGGCTGAGGTGGCCCAGCAGCTTCCTTGATCAAGATAGCCCGAGAAACTTACATTTCTAAGAAGGACACCAAGAGATGCCAGAGTTTCTGTCTTAAAAGAACTTCTAAGCCAGTTAAAGAAATAAGACCTTAAAGTAGGAGCAAAAAGGAATATTCTTTTCCCTAACCACCAGCCAAAACAAAATGGCCTTTACTTTCACAGCCGTATAAATAGACAAGTGAAACCACTTGGACAGAGCAACAGAAAACCCATGAAAATCAGTACTGGAGTTTTCCAAGGCAATATTTGTGCCTTGAAACGCAAGTGGGAAGATCTCAGGTAGCTTGGCAGTTATGGGAAAATGGCTTTGAGGTCAAAGTCTTTAATAATTCACCAGATCTACTGAGATATTCTATTTATTAAGAGCAGGGCATCTGTGCGGGAAAGAGAGATGGCTCAGTCATTCAAGGCTATGCCAAAGAGGTAAGAGTCTTCTCCAAAAGACAGTTGAGTGGGGGCCTTACAACAGTCCAATATTTGTTATTTATCTTTATGTCTATATGGGCTCAGCCATGGGGGACAGGGATGAAAAGAATGCAATGAGCAGTGTGCATGCTGCACATCCATAGTGTGTACGTATTTGTATGTATATGTTTGGCTTCCACCAAAGGATATGTTTCTACAAAGTACATATTTATATGTGAAATCTAAAATGTGAAATGCTCTCAGAAGATATTCAAGACAAGCAAATGTGAAACATTTTTTCTTAAGCAAGGCCTTGGTACAGCATCTCAAACTCTATTCTTTGCCTACTATTACACTCACATCTGTTAAGGTCGGTTCACCAAGTGTACTTTTTTTTTTTTTTTTTTTTTTTTTGGGTTTTCGAGACAGGGTTTCTCTGTGTAGCTTTGCGCCTTTCCTGGAGCTCACTTGGTAGCCCAGGCTGGCCTCGAACTCACAGAGATCCGCCTGGCTCTGCCTCCCAAGTGCTGGGATTAAAGGCGTGCGCCACCAACGCCCGGCTCCAAGTGTACTTTTTTAATCATACAGGGGAATTTCTCTGTCTTCTACAGCCATTCGACAAAATAATACAAAATCATTTGACGTATCAACATAAGTCAAATAAATTGGAGTAGTTCCTGGAAATGCTACATCGGATGTATGTGGCCTAAGCATAACCAACAGTATCAGTTCAGCTGAGGAAGAAAGAGACGAGGCTGTAGGTGCTGTCTGGAAGTTTGTGTCTTTGCAAATGCAACTATCAAGAAATGTAACAGAACCATGTGTAATAACCTGAAAGAACTCCCCCCAAAGAAGAGTATAAATACATGGAAATGGAAGAAAATAAGAATTTAATTCCCCCCCCCAAGCTTTCCTTGGTGTTGACTTACTATGTATTTTCCTGAAAACAAAACAAAACAAAACAAACAAACAAAAAAAACATATGGGCCCTTTTTAATACTCTTAAAAAAACCTAGGCTCAATTTCCCCTTTGCCCTGCCTGAATAAAGCTTATAATCCTCCTATATTTCCCAGTAATTACTCTGCTATAGTTCTTTTCAGAGTCCATCATTAAGAGGTTAAAAAATAACTCTAGCGCTAGAACAGTTTAGGTGGGAAGGTCAGTTGGGGAGAGAATGGGTGATAGAGGTGGACCAAAAAGCTCATGGTGCCTGAAAAAGCTACAAGGAAATCTGGTACTTGATAAGCCAGTCAAATCATAAAGTTATGGACTGGCTGGGGTGACGGCTCAGCCAATGAAATGCCTGCGGTGTAAGCATCAAGGCTGGAGCCCAATCCCCAGCACATATGTGTTGTTAGATTTTCTTTTACTCTAGCCCCACGCTGGGCACCAAAATGTTTTGTTTTTTCTTTACTCTTTTGGCTCTTGGCTCTTTGGTTCTTTTGGGGGGCCTGCCACCCAGCTCCCAAATAAATCACACATGAAGGCTTATTCTTACTTATGAATGATTGGCCTTAGCTTGGCTTGTTTCTTGCCAGCTTTTCTTAAATTATCCCATCTACCTTTTGCCTCTGGGCTTTTTCCTTTTCTTACTTCTGTATATCTTACTTTCACACTTACTCCGTGCCTGGCTGGGTGGCTGGGTGGCTCCTAGCGTCCTCATCTCCTTGTTCTCTTGATCTTTCTTCCTGCTCCTCCCAGATTTCTCCCTCTAGATATTCTCTCTGCCTGTCAGCCCCACCTATCCCTTCTCCTGCCTTGCTATTGGCTGTTCTGCTCTTTATTAGACCACCAGGTGTTTTAGGCAGGCAAAGTAAAACAGTTTCACAGAGTTAAACAAATGCAACATAAAGGAATGCAACACATCTTTGCATCATTAAACAAATATTCCACAGCATAAACAAATGTAACACATCTTAAAATAATATGTAAAAGCTAGGCGTAGTGGCATGTAACTTTACCACAGTTAACTCTGTAACTCTACCACTATGGGATGGGAGGAGCTTGCTGGCCAGCCATTTTTGACAATCAGTGAGCTCTGTGTTCAGTGACAGAACTTGTCTAAAGAAAATAAATAAGAAATGAAGGTGGAGAATTGGCAAGACAGCTTAACAGGCAGAGGTTGCTGTTAACAGGCAGGGCACAGGGATGATGACCTACGTTCAATTCCCAGGGCCCATGAAGTGGAAGAAGTGAAATAATTCCCCAGAGTTGTCTTCTGATCTCCACATTATATGCTGCGTCAGGTGCATGCATGCATGTGCGCACGCACGCGCACGCGCACACACACACACACACACACACACACACACACACACACCCCTAAGTAAATAAATATTTAAAAAACAAGTTTTAAAGACTGTACCCTATGTGCATGGATAAAACTGTTCCCAGAAGCCATAGGTTATGAAACAAAAATAGCCAAGTTTGGGCTTCCTCTCTATGAGCTGTGGGTCATAGAGATCCCTGACGTCCTAAAACAATACAAGTAATTGCTGTAGGTTTTCCATCAAAGCTAAGATATCCTAGTCAGGAATTATTGGTGAAAACACCACGCATCTTAGTTGCAAGACATAGATAAATCAAGCCAAAACTGGGCTAGAAGCTTCCTACCTACTGGCCACCGTTGTAGTACGAGGTGTTACGCAGGCTGCTGGGAGAATTATCATTAGCAGTCTTACTCAGCTGTGGGCCCTGGGCACAACAACACTGCCCAGCCAGGCAAGGTGAACACCCTGGTTCGATAATGGCAAGTCTGCTATGTGATAACCACTTTCAGGCTGGATCTGATGACCTCTCCATGGGAAGGAAACCATGTTTAAGACTGTAAACCCAGTCAAACGCCTGTGGCTGGAGAGGCCCTAGACCCTAGTAGAAAAGCTACTGTGGTTGCTTTGCTAAGTGGGCATGGTGAACATATCAAACCGCTTTATAAATAACCATGTTTAAACCTGTATAATGCAAATAACGGTGCTGCTCCCAGTTTTGGTAAGGAGGCTTTTTTTTTTTTTTAAGTTGTCAGCAGTGACTCATTTAATGCTCAAAATACTGAAAATAAATAATTAACTAATGAATGTCCTGCCAAAATTGGGGCCTCACTATCAGTCCTTTCAAGGCTTAGAGGACACTGAAGATGAAGGTGCAGAAAGAATGTAAGAGCTGGAGGGATGGGGAGAGGTGTGGAATGCTGACATCCGGGCATGAGCTGACATTCGCACTCACAGCAGCGGTGACTACCCACACACAGTTTGGAGAACAGTGGGCCAATCAGCAGTCTGTTATGGAAGGGGGAGGGGCTCCTGGGGTCCCTTCCTTCTGTTTTTATGCAGGCAGTGGGTAGTGGAGGAGGGAGGGGCATTTTTGTCCAGCAGAATAGCCACTGATAAGGTGCCCATTCCCCTATAAACAGCCCCAGGGAAACTCACCGGGTATAATAAAGACATGGGAGAAGAAGGAGGGCTAGGTGAGAGAGGAAGGGGGATTAGTGGGGATGAGAGGGGGCAAGAGAGGATAAAGGGACTGAATAGGACTGCAATGCACTGTGAACATGCATGAAAGTGTCATAATAAAACCCATTCTTATGCATAAAGAATATATGCTCACCAAACACTAAGAAAGAAAAAGTTACAAATAGTGGCAATATTACAATAATTTGGTGATCATATAATTATTTGGGGGAAACTAGAAGGTTGAATATAAACTGGAGGAATCTTCACTAATGAAATAAAACAGGAAAATGGGCTTTACTTAAAAAGGAGAGGTTGGGTTTTATATTAGAAATCTTTTTAAAAACACTCAAGCCATGAAAGCTATATAAGAAAAAGACACCCCCTTTCAATCTAACTCCCTCTGTTAGTTTTCTGTCTACTTGTTTGCTGCATAGGCCCCAATAGTTGGCCCACTCTTATGTAAGCAAACATTTTCATTTTAAGGAATTGTGAAAATTGAAAATCCAATTGAATAATCCATCATCTTCCTAAGAGAACACATTGGTTTTGTCACGTCGGCTGATCATAGGTGACTAATGAAAAAATCGTTTCCAACCTGAAAAACTTCTATTTGATAGAAACAGGGAAGAGTTCCTTACTATTGTTTTCAGGCTGAGTTGTAAGAATGTATGTCCCACTTTTAGACGTGGTTTGTCGAAGCCAAGGAGGAGCTGAGGAGGTGGAGCAAGCCATTAGAAGCTGGAGAACACAGGTGATATTAACACGCAATAGATACTCTACAGCAAAGAGACATCTACTTACATTTTATCTAAGTATTTGTTCACATCTTCATCTTTTTCATAATCCTTGCACAGCTGGGCAACCAGAGCTCCATATGTGAGTACAAAAAGGTCTTTGTTCTGTAGGGGGAAGGCACACGGTTTTGTTACAGGCAGTTCTGACAGTATATTGCTGTGTTATTTATTTTAATCTATGGGTAGGAATCACACCCAGAGATCATTTCTTCATCTCTCCCATGACTACAACAATTTGCACTCTCCAGTCACTACTTAAATTTATTTGCACACACTAGGCTGGGAGAAGAGCTGAGAAGTCCGTTTTCTCACATCTCCCGACACATTTGTGTCTATCATACCTTGATGTGTATTTTCATGGAGGAAGGGTTTTTTTGAACTACTCATTTCTGGTACAGTTATTATTATTCTGGAAAGCCATGTGCTTTACACTGCCTGTTTCATTTGGAAGGGATAACCAGTGAGGCTCATTGTGCGATTGCGTAGCCCTCATCTGAGTCCTAGATCTACCAAAGAGGGCTTCAGGATGATCCCAACCACAGCAGCAAGCTGGTGGGAACTGCTTTTGCTTTTTGCTTAGAGAAAAGAGGAGATTTTTAGAGGACCCAAATATAAACATTAGTACCTTAAAAAAAATAGAATTCCAAATTATTCTCCACTTTTTAGAGTGAATTATGAGCACAAATGAAAACTGAGGTGCAGCCATGCTTCACTGAGTCCAGAGAAGATAAAAATAAAAGAAGCAGAAAGCAAAGCTTAAAGCTTGGTCGACCTATTTCTAAAAGTCGGTCTTGTACCCGCTGAGAAGTGCGGCCTATGAAAGGGAGGGGAGCCTGTTGAGAATGCCTTCCACACCGTGCACCCTTCAGAGCCAGGGGAGGACCCAGAGGATGCGGAAACATGCCCAGCCATCTGGGGTCAGAAGGCCCCCTCCGACTCCGGGCTCCAACTCTAACACAGAGTCAGTCACTGAGGCACATGTGTGGCAGGAGCAGAAACAAACCGGCAAGGAGGCGGAAGTGGGACCACTATTGAAAATGAGCGTGTTTCACTCAGACTACTAGATGTTCATGAGCGGTCAATGTGGAATTCAGGCGAGGAGGGGCATCCTTACCTCTACCATCAACTGTCTTAACTTCATACGTAGGGGACCAGAGGCCTGATAATGTATGGGTTTATATTTAAAAGATGGATATGAATGTCTTTTAAAAAAACAATAAAATTATTTATTCAACCCAATAGTGTCTATAAAACCCCATGAATTTTGATGCAAATAATTCCAAAATTAACCCAGTGCCTCAGTGTCCCCCCCCAGGGGGGACATCTGAATGAGACATGTGGGTTTATATCATGACAAACATGCCTCTTTGTCAAGTGAAAATATTTATTATTGATACATTTTAAAAGAATCTAAATATTAGCTGGTACACCTGAACCTATTTATGTGAAAACTAGAAACAAAATGCCATCAGTATATGTGGAATAGACACTATAAATTAATTTATATTGCATGTTAGTTGGTATTATAATAATATGTACACCTCAGGTCTAGGAAAATAAGATGTTAATACTTTTTCCAGGAAATAAGGGATATAAGCAAGAGATTTGAACAAAAATAATGTTAACCTAACATTGAGGGTCACAAATATTCAATTTTATTCCTGTGCTTGTGATATAAACTTGCCAAGAGGCTCAACATAGAACACAACAAATACCTGTGTGTATATGCAAAGCTTATGCCCAACAGCAGAAATCTAAGCATTGCTTTGTACCAGTTCTGTAGACAGAAACAAAAAAGAATCGGAGGAGGGGAAGAGAGAGGGAGGGAGAGAGAAAGAGAGAGAGGAAGGAAAAAGGGTAGAGAGGGGAGAGGGAAAGGCAGAGCGGGAACAGAAGAGAAAGGAAGACAGGGATGTGTTTGTTGCTACTGCACACAACTAAGAATTTGTACGGAGAAGAAAGAAGAAATTATGTCCTTTTTGTCTGTCACAATCTGAGCATTGTGCTTGTTTCGAATTAAAGCCAAGGTGATTCCTGCCCTGGAGTCTCAGGTTCTCTCTCCCATGAGAGACACACTCATATTTCTTGAAACATGTTAACTTCCACCCGAGTTTCAAGTACACTGTCCATAACGGTCCATTTCTTCATGTTGCTTCATGACCAGAGGTTATACTGTGAATAGCATATCTTTGTAGGTCTCAAATCCATACTACAGATCCCAAGAAATAATAACAGGAATTCCTTTTGGTTTTTAAAAATAATAAAATCAATCATTTTCATGTGAAAAATAGAACTCCAGTAATTTTTCCCAGTGGTACACCAATATTAAAAGGTTTACTCTGTGTGTGTGTGTGTGTGTGTGTGTGTGTGTGTGTGTGTGTGTGTAGTGAGTTAGGTACAATATGAATTGTCTAGTATACATTTTTGTCATTTGATATGTCAACAGGCAAATGGTTCAAGATTCCATAATACCAGATGAACTATTTGTAGGCATTTCCAACTGTGGTACACACCAGTTAGTCAATGCAGCCTTGAGAGCACAGGTCCGAAATCACCTAATTACACTAAATGTCCACCGGTCCTTGAGATAATTAAAACAGCATTAAACATAACCATAAGTTTTCCTACCTGTAATATCTGAATTATTAAAGCTATAATGAGGAGTTTAAAAAAAAGGAGTATTGCTTCAAATTAAATGTGCCAAAAGAAAGTTTTAGAAATAAGCAACTTTGGAAGATGTAAAAAGGACAATGGCACACACCAAATACGAACAGATTTAAGACTAGGGAATGTATTTTTAATGACAATCTTTTGATTCCTAGTGTTTTGATGGTCTTTTCCTACTTAATTTTACACATAATTGATCACAGATTTCATTTGCTATTTAATATAACATGCAATACAAAGAATTGATTGATGTTTTCATATTTTATCTTAGAGGCAAAAGGAATATTTGATATCTGTATTCCAGTCATCCATCAGAAAAGAAGGTCCTAAAAATCTGTATAAAGAATTGATTATTCCGCTACACTATTAAAAGATACTTGTAACTATTCCCAGAAGGGTCATTCACTAAACACTAAATACCGTTTTTTGCCTCACTGAAACCTTCTACTTTTAACATCATTTTCCAAAATACATAAAATATCCCTCAAGGAAACATTGGCTGGGAAGCAGAAGCAAGGTTTTTGAGAAAAAAGGTCTTACTATTTTGTGATACTCTGGCTTTTTGTGTGCAGGGCGAGACATCTCTCTTGGTGTGTGAGGAATGATCTTCAGTTCTTTTCTTCGGTCTGTGACTTAGACATGCACCAGTAGTCCACCAGTCCTTTGTCTTAGCAAGTTCCTCCTTGCTTTGGTTCAGGAGTCTTCTCTACTGCCTTTGCTCTTTGCTGAATGGAAGAGAAAAAACAAACAAACAAACAAACAAAAAACCCCACCAAAATTCGGGAACAACAGCGCTGTCTTGTACCTCCGTAACCTGCTCAAGGAACAGCCTCACTTGTAATACAGACCCATAAAAGCTCACAGTGTGTGTGAAGTCAGACCCAAAGCACAAAGCCACTAAAAACTCTCTAGCCCCAGGGAGTTGATGAGTGGTGTTTTGTTCGGATGCCAAGGTATTGTTTTAAAATCACAAACAGAAACCTTCGCAATCCAAGACAGATCTAAATGTTAGCATAATTCACTCCCATATTGATTGTTCTATGAATTACAGAGGCAGGATCAGCAATCTTTGGGCACTAAATCCTGAGTTTAAATCTGATCAACAAATGAGTTTCACATTGTCCCCAGAACACTTCCTGCCCCCACTGTGTGTGTTCATAGCACTCGAATATACCCAGCATCTTGTTTTGAAAAAGATAAGTTTTCACAGCAGCAATCAGCAATTTTAAGGAGTCATAAAGCAGATGATATTTTCTTACAGAGCTGTTGCTCAGAAGGGGTGCTCTGCAGTTTAATAATGCATAATGATCCTGGCAGAGAGAGTAAGTAAGCCCTTAACTTTCTTTTGATAGTTCCTGAGCTACTGGAGGCTCTCCTTATTGATGCAAAAGTACATATATTTAAAGTTCAAATAAGTCTCATCGTGACAGATGCAGGCTGCGCGAGTTCAAAGCTGTTCCAGAAATAGACACGGAAAATTCGGTTGAGAAGGCAGTCTTTGTTTCTTACATCTTGAGACAATTAGTTCCATTGGTTCTGGAGCACCCCTCCTGCAAAGTGAAGACGGTGAGCACTTTGAAGACAAGTGTGGCACACGGTTGAAAGAGCCTAGGATGGTTGGTGAGGCTCCGATTCAGTTGCAAGTCTCCTGATTACTGGCTGTGTGGCCTTGGACAAGCCACTTTATTGCTCTGTGGCTCAGTTTTCACATCTGTGAAATGGCAATAGTAATACCTACCTCACAAAGTAATTTGACTATCAAAGAGATGATATGCACCGTAAAACACATTATAATGCACTGTATAAAAACTAATTACTGCAGGCTCTTCTTACGGGTGGATATATGGGATGGAAGTCTATACCATATGAAGCAGTTCCACACCTATTTGTGTTCTATGAAACTATGGTCTCAGGGAAATCAGCAATACTGGGTTTTGGGATTTGACGGCTTTCTTAGGGGCAGACCAATAACTTCTATTTGCAAGTTCACAGTGTGCAGCATGGTTTTCACTGTCTATATCATTTTAATTCAACTACAGTCAATGAAATAGTCATTGTGATACTTGTGGCCATTTTACAGGATAGAAATATGAAAATAAAAAGACTGAGAAAGCTCTTCAATCTGATCTGGATGGTAGGGAACAGAACTACATTTGCAGATTCCTAATACCCGCCCCCCCCCCTTATCTATCATATACATTCCAGCATAGTTGATGAAAAATTTTAGAAGTAGACGCTAAACAACCACAAATGTGCAATCGACAGCACGTTGTCAATTGGGTGGTCATTTGGGCTTCAAGGTAAGAGAGCCCTGAGAGAAACAGGAAAGGTCTATGTGATTGTAGTGAGGGAAAGGCGGCACTGTAATCAACAACAATACCCGACCATGGCTGTGTGGTGGTCATATCAAGGCCACGACAAAGCTTCAAGCCATCATGGGGGTACCTCAGGAAAGGTGACACCTTCCTCCAGGCTGACAAGGCCGTTGACTAGCCAACGGTCCTCCAGATCAGACCTAGGACCTGACCGAGGAAGGAGCTGAGTGCCTGGCAGACACTCATGAGCAAACACAGCTGTGGACCACTGTCACTTGGACACTGGTTTGCTCCCTTTCAGACTATGAAACTCAGCATCCTTCAACATTTCTTAACATCTGAGTACACCTTGCATTTTCTGGGCCCTTTCTTTTTATGTAAAAACACTGCACTGTTAAAGAGGGAAAAAACGTAGTTTGGCGCTTCTGAATGTAAATGACCCATGTTTGCCCTGACACTAGAGCAGGCAGGAGAGAATTGGTTCAAAGTCATGCCCAAGTGTTGTGTTTCTACTTTTACTAAGAATCGTTAAGCTGGCTAGAATAGAATTTGGAGCTGGGATTGAGAGAAAGAAGCATTCTTCAATCTTGTCAGATTTACTCAGCTTCCAGTCAACACAAGTTAACAGTGTCTCAGGCCACACCTCTACCCAGGTCCTTTGAGAGGCAGCTAAACAACTGAGTAAAGACTTGGGAAAATCCTAACAGAAAACAGTAGCAACCCCAGCTACCAAAGCACCTGTATGGAATCTCATTTCTTCCTACAAATCTTCTCTAGGATCTAGGGAGATGGTTCCGTGGATAACAGTGTAAAAGCAAGAGAACTTGAGTTCAAATTCCCAGCACCCTCCTAAAAAGGCAGGCATAGCTAGCTACTTAGTGCTGGAATGTTCTGTATGCTCTGAATGTGTTGCTCTGATTGGTTAATAAATAAAGTGCTGATTGGCCAGTAGCCAAGCAGAAAGTATAGGTGGGACAAAGAGAGAGGAGAACTCTGGGATCAGGAGACACTGCCAGCCGCTGCCATGAGAAGCAACATGTAAGATACCGGTAAGCCACAAGCCATGTGGCAAGGTATAGATTTATAGAAATGGGTCAATTTAAAATCTAGGATTTAGCTAGCGAGAAGCCTGAGCCATTAGGCCAAACAGTTTAAATAATAAAAGCTTATGAGTGATTATTTTATAAGTGGACTGCGGGACTGTGGGGGCTTGGTGGGCCCTGGAGAGAAACTTTCCAGCTACCAATTGTGCCTATAACCCCAGCAATGGCAGGCTGAGACAGGCAGATTCTGCAAGCTCACAGGTTAGCCAGCCTAGCTGAACCAATGAAAATTCAGTTCAGTGAAAATAAGGAGTGACAGAGGAAGACCTGGCCTCTATATGTATGTGCATGAATACATGCACATGTATACACACACACACACATACACACACACACACACACACACACACACACACACACACACACACACAAACCACACATGAGTTTCTACTTTAAGCTGATCTTTGTGTTTATTTTAACCTGCTTTCCTTATATAAAATTAATGTATGACTCATCCTGTGACCCCCGGCCCCCTAAGGACAGCTGTAATGCTCAGATCTGATTTTCCCAGTCATACACTTGGTTGTGCTCTGTGACAGAGATTGTGAAACTGGGTCCCCGAGTAGTATACATGCGAAAGCTACAAGAAGGACAGACAATAGCAAACTAACTTTGGGATTCATTTTTATCCAAGTAAACAATACAGAAAACTAAAATTAAGACATTTACAGAACACACGGGACTGGGATATACTGTATCAAGTGAGAAACCAAGGGTTCAGAATGACAAGCACATTCCTTCTCTATGTGGGTTTTAGCTTTGAATTTTGATGCATGTGCATTTATGAGAAACTGGGTGTGTGTGGTCACCAGAGGCATCTAGGAGAGGCCAAGGTGGGGTAATAGAACACATGTGATATTAAAGTGAATGGGAGAACATGGGGGAGGGGCAAGGGGAGTGTTAATCCAAAGCCAGCACAGGGGTATGCCATAAAAAAATCTACAAAGCAGATCCTTACAGATCTGCATCAACGAAGCCCTTACTCCAGTAGGGTTCAACCAGCCCTCTACTGTGTCCTATGCAGCTCCCAGCAGGAATGCTCTATAATGTTCTTCCCGATTTCCTCATATAACAGATACTTTAACGAATGGATTTTAAGATATGAGATAATAAACACAGAAGAAGGATGTGGTATGTGTTACCAAGCTTTGCTATATATGCTTCAGGCTGAACCAGCTAAAATATCCGGGACCCTTTTAGACCCTGTCTTCCTGTCCTGCTTAGAGGTCACCACTCTGTGGACCTTGGATTTATCATTCCTATGCATGTGTTAAAGCTCCACATATATTACCATCCGTACAGAATATGCAATAGTACTTGTAACTTTATATTAGAGTGGTGCCATACAGCTCGGATCTCATGGCCAGAACTTTCTCCTCAAGGTTGTTTGTTGAGGTTTCTCCACAATGATACCTGCCATTGTAGATAATGTATTTATACGGATTAACATCGGGTTAGCAAAACTTTCTGTAAAGGACCAGATAGTAAGTCAGGTTCTGCAACCATACAGATTCTGTAGTAATGACTTCATCCTGCTGTCAATTTCAAAAAAATCCCCAAGCAGACATGGCTACTTTCCAATTAAAACTTTATTAATAAGCACTGACATTTGAACTTAATTTCATTTTCATATGATTTTTTTTTGACCATTTTAAAATGCAGAAGTCATTCTTAACTCCTAAGCCAGACAAAATAAGCAGAGGGCAGTTTGACTCCTGTACCGTACTTTACTAACCCCACACTGCAGTACACCGTCGTCATGGTTTCTGCATCCACTTCCTTGTTATTGGATGCCGATACTGAGATTTCCTTGGTGATCCTTTGCATCTCCCACACAATTTAATGGGAAATTATTTGTGGAACTTATAAAATAAAGTATTTATCCTCTACTTTTAGGTCATAGAATGCCACGCATCTTTAACCATCTGGCTTAGGCAAAACTTGCTGAATTTATTTTATCTTTTATCTACCTTTGTTTATTTGATCAACACACTTGTTAGTGTTACATTAAAAAAATCTCTCTGTGAAGGAATTCTTCCTTCTTATTCGGCCAGATCTTCCTTTTATATATTTTAAAGTTATGCAATCATGGACGTACAAACTGCCACTTTCATGTCTTCGTAATGCATTGTTTTTATTGTGATGGAGTGTGCAATTAGCCCTTTACCTCTTGACTTGTAGCCAGTCTTGCCTTCTCCTAATACCATTTATTATTCCCAGTGGTCCATGATTCCACGTCTTTCTTTTCAAGCTTCGTGTGTGGTATAGTTTGGGGAGTGTCACTGACAAGCAGCATGGCTGTTTTAAAAACACTGCATGGGCAGGTTTAAACCAGTTCTGCCTTGGTGGTTAAAGACATGTGCCAGGCCACCTGGGTCCTAGTCTTGACTCCTCCATTCATCTGTGTGTGGTGCTAGGCAAGTTCTTTAATCTTGTCGCATCTCAAGACTGGATTGTTGAGGAGATTCGGTGTTCTTAACACAGGGCCTAGCAGATAGTAAGCGCTCCGTCGTTGTTAGTTATTTTGTTGTCATTGTTGATGCGTCTGGTCTCATTTATACTGCGGTTTTGTCTTTTCTCTTCATCATTTGTTCGTCTTTGTTTACTCTCTCCTTTCCTATGAAGATTCTCTTTTTACTCCCTCTATGTTTTAAATGATCTATAGATGGCATATCTCTAGTCTTTCAGTGGTCACACTTAAAATGTTTATGGTTTATCAAGATGTGTTTGATACACAGTTTGATAAGTATATAGATCAAGTTTTTAATCAATGTAATTAACATTGCTATCACCCTGTTCTATGTTTATCTATTTGGTATCCATTAATTACAGGGCCAGATAATAAGCTATTTGTATTTCCTCTGTGAGCCAGAGGTCAAATGCCAGGGCCATCACCTTATCCAATGCTCACATACTGATTTAATATCGTCCTGCCCTAAATCAACCATTGCCAGGTTGCAGACATATAGGAGTAATCTCTGTGCCCCAAAGCCCAGATTTGTTTAAAAGCCAATCTTAGGTGTTCCCCTGCCCTGCCTTATGTTCCCTACAGATCCCCCAATCTTGACTGGGGGCCCAGGCTTTCTCTTCCTTCTCCCACCTTCTGACCCAGGCTGATGCTTCCTGGTGTGACCCTGCTTGGCATTCTCTGACCTAGTTTCCTGGGGAAAGAAAAAGAATAAATCTTTTGATAGTGCTGGCATTTCTGCCACAAATCCAAACACTGGCGTAGAAATGTACAACTCCAAAAGGATTTCTCATGGCCCTTTACCTCTCTTTGTATCCCCCCTCCTTACTGTCTCAGCAAGCACAGGTCTGCTTTCTGTTGGTGTACATTTATATTTCTAGAGTTTATTTTCTTGTTGTTTTGAGATAGGGTCTCCACATGTAGCACCGGATGTCCCAAAACTCAACTACACAGACCAGGCTGGCTTTGAACTCGCAGGGATTCACCTGCCTCTGCATCCCAAGTACAGGAATTCAAGGCATGTACCGCATGCCTAGTTATATTTTCTAGAGTTTTATATAAAGAACAGCATATATTTTTTTCAATTATTTCATCTAGAAAATTATTCTTAATTCATTCCTGTTGTTATATATATCAAAAATTTTTTTTCATTTTGATTCTTCTGAAAGCAGTAATAATGGATATATACCAGCTTGTTAATTCAGTCATATGGTGATGGACATTTGCGTTATTTTTAGTTTACAGCTTTTATGAAGGAAGTTTCTATGCATATTCAGGTGTAAATGTTCATGTAAACATATGCTTTCCTTTATCTGTTACAAATAACTAACAGATGTGACCATTGTACGGTGGGAATAGATCTACTTTTAAGAAAACTACCATTTTCCAGAGGGAGTTGTCCTACCTGACATTCCTGCCACCAGTGTGTGAGAACTCCAGCTGCGATACAACCTCAGCAACATCTGACCACTTAATCATCTTACTTTCAATATTTTTGGTAGATAAGTAGTGATAGAATGCTATAATAATATATTGTGATATGTTAATATAATATTGATATTATAATAATACATAGTTCTGTTTTTGAAATAAAAATAATAGCTTCAACACCTAACGGAGAATTGCTTAGCATTTTGGGCTCATCACTATCTGTGCTCTAAAGGTCTGTCCTCAGGCTTCATCTACCTCTTGCTGAAATACAACCTTTTGTAATCCTCTTAACGAACAAACTCTCTTCATCTTTATCTGTTTTTATTTTGTTCTGTCTTGAATGATGCCTTGCTGCTATTAAACCCCCTGAAGATATATGTCTTCTACTCTCTTTTGTCATTGATGTGAACTCCGCTCTAGATCTAGTGTCATACTTTGGTGCAATATCTACTTTTTCTGTCTGGTGCCTTTAAAGAATATGTCTGTTTTCACATTCTATAGCTTCGCTCTGATTTTATCTTTATACTGCTTTATACCAACCTTCTACTAGGCGAGAATTTTGATTTTTTTTCAAGTATTGCTTCTCTGCCTAGGTTTTTTTTTTTTTTCTTTTGGAATTCCCATTACACACTGGGGTTGGCCTGGTCTATCTTCTGTGTCCTCGTGTGCTTTGTGAACTATATTGTTTATCTTTCTGTGTTGCGCTTTGCATGAATTTCTCAGCATACTGTCTCAGTTCACCAATGATGCATTTCACCACACCCATCTAGAATCTGAGAAAAAAAGATTTTTTTAAATCCAACCAACCCTTGTCCAGTATTCAGTACACAAAAATTGTATGTTAAATATTTCCTAATTAAATAGCACAAATAGCTCACATGTTTGATCATTTCGTTCTTATTTAAAACTATATGTTTGCAATTTGACTTTTAAATCAACATATAGCAATATTCTGTCAACAAACATCTTTGTTTTGATGCAGCTTTGTTGTCCACGGCCCTCTCTCATTTAGAAAACGTTTTGGGACCTCCTAGAAACTTTGGGTTCTTCTAATATTTAGTTTCTATTTCTCTGTGTTTTGTAATGCTTTGGCTGTAGAATCTGTTTGTCACTGAGGTAAGAGTGTCTCTGCTTTGCTTCCTAGGCTGCGTTGGTTGATGCTTAATATTTCTTGTACAAAGTGGTGAGGAGCTAGATGGAGGGTATTTGCCTGGCAAGTGTGCTGTGGTCATCCACGACGGGATGTTGAAAAGTTCTCTCTTTCACACAAAGCTGAGATCCCTTCTCTTTCTCCCAGCTCCACTTTGGTGTGAATTTATGAGCTCGGGATTCACAAAGCACATGAGAGGACTCCGGGATCCTTTAAACATAGAAGGATGTCGGGTCGCTTGACCCGACCAGTTAAACCAGTGCAATCCTATAAAATGGTCACAGCTGGTGGAGTCCAGAGATCAGAAAGGGCCACCCGCTGGCTGGGTCAGAGCTTCCACGATGAGCCCAAATCTCAATTGTCTTCTCTCGTCTCTGCAGAGAGGTGGAGCGTGCACCAATACTTTGATTGCGATTTTGACTATTTGCGGGCAGCAACTCTTCTCCTCTTACACATTCAGTTGCCCGTGTCAAGTCGGGAAAAACTTCTATTACGGTTCAGCTTTTCTCTTGGTTCCTGCCGTGATCCTCCTGATCGCTGGCTATGCTCTAAGAGGCCAGATGTGGACAGTTGCCAGCGAATACTGCTGCTGCAGTTGTACCCCTCCGTACCGGAGAAGCAGCCCTCTGGAGAGGAGGCTGGCCTGCCTCATGTTCTTCAACATCACCGGGAGGGCGCTGGTGGCTCCGCTGACGTGGCTGACGGTGACCCTGCTGACAGGCACCTACTACGAATGTGCGGCGAGTGAGTTTGCCTCCGTGGACCAGTACCCGATGTTTGCTAATGTCACTGCCAGCAAACGGGAAGAGATCCTAGCTGGATTTCCATGCTACACGTCAGCTCCTTCTGATGTCATTCCAATAAGGGATGAGGTGGCCCTTCTGCACAGGTACCAGTCACAAGTAAGTTCATGACTTTTGTTTTTCTGTCGTACTATCCCAAACTTATTACAGTTCCTGTGAACATATCGCATGCCTGCTGCTGCTCATATTATCTGACTACAGAGCACAGGTTAGATCCCATGCATCTGGATGAATTCTACTGGATAGCTGCATGCACCCAGTTAGGATGCCGGGAGTCTTCAGGCCTGCTTATCTCCTGGTGCTTTGCCGTTTAGTAACTGACAAGTTTGTTATTAAGTTGTACAACTGCTCAATGCTTCACTTTCCTGAGCTGTGAAAGGAAGATGATCATAGAATCTGTCACCTTAATGGTTGTGAGTGAGAAAATTAACTCATACATTTAAAGAGCTCACGACTGTGCCTAGACTCGGTTAAAATAATGACTGTCAGTATTATAAATATCGTAAGTATTATCAGAATAGTGCTATATTACTAAATCTCATTTTTCTGTGTTTTCACCTTTATGCTCTTCTATATTAAGAATCTCTTCTGAAATTACAGGAAGCTCAACTGTGTTTTTAAAATCTCCAATGATGGCTCTAAATATAATCTTCATGGACAACTTAGTGTCAGGGAGTGGGATGGGAGAGGAGGAAGACACGGGCCTGCAATACTTTCAGGTTCGATTTCAGAAGTGTAATTTTTCATTTTGGCAAGAAAAAGCCATCACCTTCCCTAAGGGATGAGTTAAAATATATTTTCAAAGCACATATCATAAAAGCATCTTCTGTCTTAAAGTCCGAATTGCAAATGCTTCCATGGCTTTTGACCTGCTTTCCTTCGGCTACTTAGATACTGTTCAGTTAGAAAAATTACAGTCAAGACATGGGATCCTGAAATGCTGAAATAATACTCAATTGAAGAAAAATCGGAAAATGTCCATTAAGATATACTTTGTCACAATTGTGTCTTGTTTTGGGTTTTCTTTTGTTGTTTTTTTGACTAGTCTCAAAACCAGCTCAGCCAGAGGAGCTTGAGAAAGCTGGCAGGAGAAAGGTCAGAGGAGAATTGCACTGCCCACCTGTTAGCATTCCCAAACGCTCCTGTTAGCATTCCTAAAAGCTCATCTTCTTTATTTTACCTACCAGTTGCTGAATGTTTTTTTTTTTAAAGAATGATACAGAAAGGAACAAATGGATTCTAAGGGGGAAAAAAAGTCAGTGTTTCAAAAGCAGTTACTAAGTAGTCAAAATAAAGCTAGTTCATCTAAAAAAGGAAAACAATAAGGAACTTCAAAGTATAACCTATACTTGTTTGCTGACTTCTTTGGTTACAAAAGATAAGGGGGATGGAGGAAGAGGAAGACATGTCTATGAGTACTTGGTAGCAGATCGTTGAAGACGTCTTGGGAGGCTGCCATTAGTGCCTACGACAGCATCATTATCAAATATTAATTAAGCCCCCAACAAATGCCTGGGTCTGTACCTAATGATTGAGAAGGAAGATCGGGTTATAAGCAGAGGACAAGTTTTTAGCATTTTATATAAGGGTAATTGGTGGTTTATAGCGTCTATCACTTCAAGGACAGTACTTAGAATCCATCCCACATGAACAGGTCAAATTCCTTTGTAATATGAGGGCTCCACTAAAATGGCTTGACCTGTCCTTCCGACGTGGCTATTTCCACATCAAATGACCATCACTGTATATTATATATTAAAAACCGGAAGCAAAGACCCACATTTTAGTTCTGAGGTTTGTAGGACTCCGATCCTACCATGACTGTTTCTTGAATATTTGCTGTATTGATTGATGCTTGAGTCTACTAATTATATTCCTACTAATTATGTGTAGATGCTGGGCTGGATTTTGCTCATTGTGGCAACCATTGCTCTTCTGACCTCCACCTGTCTGGCAAGATGTTGCTCTCCCCTCACCTCTATGCAGCATCACTATTGGACCAACCACCTTCAGAATGAGAGAGCGCTCTTTGAACAAGCTGCAGAGGAGCACTCGCGGCTTCTCATCAGACAGCGCATCAAGAAAGTGTTTGGGTTCATTCCTGGGAGTGAAGACATCAAACATATTCGTATTCCTTCATGCCAGGACTGGAGAGAGATTTCCGTACCCAATATTCTGTGTGTGGGTGACACCTCCCAGGGCCCCTATAGCTTCCTCGGAGACAGGGTGGTTGAGGAACATGAGGAAGACAGACAAGAAGGTATTGAAATGAAGCCTTGATAGCTGTACCTTTCAAAGTTGAGGGTGCTTGATTTCCTGAAGCTAGAGTTTCAGGGCAGCCTCTTCCTTTGCTATCTCTCTGACACTTACTTACAGAAGTCCATCCAAAATCTTATTTCCAAAATCCATTTATAGAGAGACAACCTCCCCATACTTATGAGGTGTTCGTAACGACTAACGTGTCATGTTGGTCCATTTTAAACGGGTATGAAATTTTAAGTCATGTCAACTTGGAATTCAGTTATGTTACTGGGTATCTGTGTGAAGATCAATATTTCTGAGCATTATTTTGTCATATGTCCATATTAGCTACCTCAGAGAGCTGTTGAGATGGTCAGGAAACACTTAAACTATGCTTTTCAGACGATGAACGCAAGCCAAAGTCACTTCCATCCTTCCTCTCTGAATTATGTCTTCTCTCGCTGTCTTCCCTCACGCTAATTTTTGCTTTACTCCTCGTCTTCATTTAGATGATACTTTTCATTACCTTCTCCTCTTTCCTCACATCTGAATATGTAGCCGTCCAGAGGAGAAGGTAGAATAAGATGGCATTTCTGAAGTGGTAACGGTGAGGAAGGTTTTGAGCGTCGTCCTGCGCTCAGGGAAGAGGACACACCATCACGTTATCATTAGATGCAGCATCACAGCAGAGGTGTCTGTAAGACAACTTCTTACAAAGTTTACCCTAAAAGCGTTCCCTCTCTGTTCCACACCACGGGTCCCAGCTTGTCCTTTCCTTGCCAAACTTTTCCTTTATGCTCAAAATCTATTTGAGGAACTAAAGCATGAAGTACAACTTCTAGTTGTTTCTAGAACTCAGAGCTGCGGGGATGGTGGTGGTGCTGGAAATATCACTCACTGGGTAAGAGCACATACTGCTCCTTCAGAGGACCTGAGTTTGGTTCTCAGTATCCATGTCAGGTGGCCTAAACTGTCTGAAATTCCAGATCCAGGGATCTAATGCCCCTGCCCTCCATAGGTACCTGCCTCACGGGACCATAACCCCACAGAGACACCCACATGAGCACAATTTTAAAAATAAGTAAATAGAACCTGGGGGAGGGGCCAGCTTTTCTCTGTCAGGCTTTGCTAAATGCAACCTCTAACATCTGACATCTTCTAGCGTGTCTTGATCATGGTTGCTTCAAACCCGATTTCTGTGGTGTTTGCTTAATCACCTGACTCATTGAACCACAGAGAGATCTGAAAGCTTTTGTTCATTCACTTCTTTAGCCAAAATGATTTTTGATTGCCAGTGAACCAACAGACAATGGCCAGTATGGCCTTCAAGGAGATCAGAATAACTGGATTGTTTGAAATGCCACCAATTTCTTAGTAATAAGTCTGTATACAATTATGGAGGGTTATATTTTATGTCAAATTCTGGGTACTTTGGCTTGATAGAAACAAGAGAGGGTTTTTGAGAAAACAAAACCTTTGCAGGCATTTCCCCAATAGAAGATTGCTGAGTATAACCCTGTGCTAGGTCAGGAGACTGCCCTGTCCTCACCAGCAACACCATCAACCTTACCAAAGTTGGACCATCTCCCTGGGGGCCTAACTCTGGTTTTAAAGAAAAGTTAATGATACCCTACCTTCTGGAAAGCAAGGAACTGAACCAAATGAACTATTGAAGTCCCTTCCTAGTCTGATAGAATGTTTATGTTTATTGTTATACAGGGGAATTAATGTGTATAGACTTTTCTGGAATGATAGTAGACTCATGTTGCTTATTCACCGAGTTGAATCTTTAGCGTTCTCTAAAAACATCTACTGGCATTCTACTTTTGAAAGAGCTTTTCAGGGGGTCTGGGAAAGCTGACTCTACCTTGTCAACTAATTGTGGGCTCAGTGATGATATAATGTTACAAAAGCAATTTTGAAAACAAAGATGATATATGTTGTGAAAGGCTACGCTGGTTCTAGTTCCCTCTAATGCCAAAGTTAGTAAATATGGAAGGCATTATCTATTTTATTCTCACAATTCTCTCAAAGCTCTAGAATTCCCAGTCTCCACGGATACAAGAGCTTCTCAACTTCCTCTGTTCTGGGGCTTCCTAGAAAATTAATCAATCATTTTCACCATATTCAGAATTAGTCTATTAGTTTTCAGGACCTTTACCTTGAAAAGAGACTCTTCAGTAAGGTTTTCCATTAGCCGCACAACCAAGGAATGTGTGAAGTTAGAGTGCTACCTCACCAGGAAGATTACAGTTGCCTATGACAGCCCCAGGAAACAGCCTGGACTGCCTTCTGAAGTCCTTTGTACATCAAACTCAGAGCATGACATAGAAAGTCTTCCTTCTGAGCCAGTTAAGCATGATCATGGCTTTGGGTAAAAGGAGATGGAGAAATCCTCATCTACACAGCTTCAAAGAATTCCTAGCACCTATATGAACATTTGAAGTATATATTCTTAGGATTTCATTGTACTGTGTATCATCCACTTCAAGTAAAATAAATTGACCCCACACACACACACACACCACACACTTTTGGTGTATTCTTTTGTTCTATAGTTAGTTAGGTAAAACTTTTTTTTCATTAAGAACATGGCACTTCCTTCCCTTTATGCTTAATGGATTTATGTAATTATAAAACATGTAATTAAAATCAATTATATGTGCACACCTTGTATTTTTCTGCCAAGTGACTCTGGCTTGGCAGAGAGAGACTTGCTGATTCTGCTCTGTCAAGCTCACTCACTACTCCACCAGGATTCAGATCGCCTCCTTCCCAAAGCTCAGCGACAGCAGATCCTGATTCCTTTATATCATCGACGCTGATCTGTAGGGAACTTACACGTTGTCATCCTCCGGTTTCTGTGCTCTGTGCTCATTTCCAGCTGTATTTTTGTTTAAAAATTCAAACTAATGGTTGTTAATTAGAAACGGCCGCGTGGAGGCTCAACATTGAGGAGTGCCTGGTGCTCCTCCAGAGGATCGGCATTCTGTTCCCAGCACCTGCACGTGGTAGTTTATAACTACTAAACCCAGGGGATCCATCACCCTCTGCTGCTCTCCTCTCGCTTCTGTACAAATATGACCCACGGGTGCACGTGGACACACACACATGAATGTTTTTAAAAAATAAGAAAAAAGAAACACCTGTGAGAGTTTGCTGTTCTGCTTACCTCCACTTTGTACTAGAAGGCGAGCACATTAGCATTCACATTTTGAAATAACATGACCGATTACAGGCTTTCTGGATGCAGAATGCACATACATTTGCTATCTCAAAACACGCCAGGTATAGAGACACAATTTTAGTTTCCAAATGCAGCCTACCACAATTTAGACACGATCAGGAAAGAGTGGCAGCCTTGGGGGAAGACAGATTTAAAACTAGTCGTGTGAGCGGGAGGTGACCTGGATGGTAACAAGCACACAAATGGGACTTCCGAATGGAACAACGGATGGTGGTCCCAGACAGACAAACCACAGTATTCTTGGTCAAAATCATTTGTGTGCGCTAAGCTCAAGACTGATAAAGTTTCTCTAAATTCAGTGTATAGGGAGGCTACAGTGTTCACGTATGGTTTCCTCTGTTGCCATCTAGTGGTATACACGAGCATTTGCACCTATCTGTAGTGGGTGGCGGCAGTACAAACTGAGCATTTAAAAAAAAAAAAAAAAAAACAAACTCTGAAGTGCTCCAAAATTCGAAACATTTAAAACAGCAATATGACGGATTAGGAATGCCCAGTCAGCAATTCTACATAAATATTCCAATATTCCTGAAAAAGAAACCTCTGACATCTGAAGCTCTTCAGATCTCAAGCATTCTGAATAATCACTGGCCCAACTTAAGGAGAGGAGAGGAGCTCACGACATTCACCATGTGCCAGTGACTTGTAACTATGGCAAATGGGGCCGCATATTAGGGAACAGCTTCACAAAACGACATTAAATAATGAGCGGGTTGACAGATTTTTTTTTTAAAGTCTTACACGAACAGAGTACGTTCCTATATGTACAATTCTTTTACTAGGTTACAAGTAATTCATCAGTCTTCGGAATCCAGCCTGTTTAACACTCACAGTGTCACTTTCCCAATTTTATTAATGAAACAGTTGAGACACTCAGAGGTCAAGAAATTGTGCGGAAGGTCACATCACTTTATGCGGGGAAGGCAGAATGCAGTCCGGCTGTATGACATCCAGTCCTGCATCTGGTAATGCTGAGCTGTGTAGCAAGGGACAGAGCTCATTGGTCCTTCTCAAGTCTTGTAGGTGTGCCCAGTCACCTCATACTCACCCCTTGGGTTCAAGAAGAAGGTGCAATATCCCATTTGAGACCCCCCCTTTTCCACCCAAACCTTACCTGCATACATAAAGGTTCACTGCCAAGGTACTGTGTTTTTCTTCTCAAAGTGACTTCTTCATACCTCCTGGCGACTCAGTGTGGACAACACAGTAGCCAGCAACAATGATTCTACCATTCCCAGAGTAATCACAAACCTGTCCTAGAGTCCCAGGTTCTCTCTCTGTGTCTCTGTCTCTGTCTCTGTCTGTCTGTCTGTCTGTCTGTCTGTCTGTCTCTCTCTCTCTCTCTCTCTCTCTCACACACACACACACACACACACACACACACACACAAAGGGCCCAGTCAGGACAGCACTATGATCTGATTTGTTTTCAGGAGGCCATGATTATGAAGGGTTGAAGCAGAGGTCAGGGAATCTGTCTCTCATTACTCATACGACGTTATGGACGTCAGTCTCTCTGGAACCTTAATTTTCCTTTATATGAGATAGGAGAGGATGATTAAGTTGTAAGGATGGTTTAGTAAACCATTTTGATCACAAACTTACTTGGAGAGTAGTTCTGGAGAAACCTATTTTGAACAAATACCCTACAAAGTTGCATACACACACACACACACACACACACACACATACACATTTACATGCCACAGAATTTATACTCAAAGACCTCCAAATCCTAGCCATTGCAACTTGTCAGAGTAATTTTTTTTTATGAAAGGAGACACTTTGCAGATGTGGCCAAATTAAACATTTTTAGAGGAGGATCTATTCCTGTGTAGTCATAAGTTATTTCCCCACACTAGGAATCAATTGAAGTGTGTGGCTATTCCTGGGGAATTACGAACAATGCTTACTCATCACAGATAGGGAACTAACAATAAACAGAGCAAAGATTCGGTTCTACCACGTGCAACTTGGCAAGCCAAGGAACTGACTGGAATCATTCATAGGAGTATAAGTGAGGGGTTGCTTACAGGAGTAGGGTGACTCAAAGGCTGTGCATCACCCAAAGCCCACCCATACACGGGTGACAGCTCATAGGATCTAGACCCTTGGAGTTCTCCATACCATCTTCACTGTTGATGCAACTTTGGAGAAGGAGAAGTCTTGTGAATCAGGTAAGTTTCGAGGCTGCCCAGGACTCGTGAAACGTTCACTTCCTGAGACTTGAGGAACCTCCCTCCTGGAGCAAATGTTTCAATCTGGAGTCTATTTCCACAGGGGAAAAGGAAAAGTCATCACTGAGTGTCCAGTGTCGCAGATGGAGAGTGCCATGAGCTAAAGGATGTGGGCATCCTCTAGAAACAAAGGGGCAAAGCTGCCGATGCTTTCTGAGGGCCCGCAGAGGGAATACAGCCCTGCTGACCTCTTGATTTTGATCAGTGGGGACCTGTGTCAGACTGGCAAGAATTTTATATAGTTCTTATAAACTACAGGATGATAAGCTTGCATTTCTTAAAACCAGAGTCTCCAGGAATTTATTGTAGTGGGGATAGTGTGGTATAATGGTGACACTACCAACACATCTCAAGAGCTTAGGGATCCACAAGCTATGGATTCTCATCAAGGCTGTTTCTAGCATGATATTGTGTCTGCCCTGGCAGTCTGCTTAGGCAAAAATTGTTGTTCCTGGAATCTATCACCTACCTACCTATCAATTTCCTGTCTTTCTGCCAATCATCTATTCATCATCTATCTCTATAATGGTTTGTAAAGAAATCAAATACAATGTAATCCAACTTTAAGGTGTTGCAAACTGCAAAAAGAAGAGCTCATGTTAACTTTATTGGATTCATAGATGTGTGTTCTCTCTCTCTCTCTTTCAGACAAGATCTCACTGTGAAGCTAAGGCTTGTCTCAAACTCACCATGTAGCCCAGGCTACACAGTAGCCTGAAATAATGATCCTCCTGCCTTGTCTCAAACTCACCATGTAGCCCAGGCTACACAGTAGCCTGAAATAATGATCCTCCTGCCTTGTCTCAAACTCACCATGTAGCCCAGGCTACACAGTAGCCTGAAATAATATGATCCTCCTGCTCAGCTGACTGAATACTGGGATTACAGAAATATATCACTCCTAGTCTACAGGCTCTGTTTGTAAGTTACAAATATAATTAAAAATATATTTTCTTTTAGTTGGCAGTTAGCATCAACAGAACTGTGTACTATAAGTTAATTTCATCATATGTATTTTAATTTTTGAAATGTAGGAAAGCAAATGCCATGCCAAATGCATATATACATGTACACACACAAAAATACCACACACACACACACACACACACACACACACACACACACACACAGAGTTTTTTCGAGACAGAGTTTCACTGTGTAGCCCTGGCTGTCCTGGAGCTTCTCTGTAGACCAGGCTGATCTCGATCTCAGAGATCTGCCTGCTTCTGCCGCTGCCTCCCAAGGATTAAAGGCTTGTGTCACGACGCCTAGCTAAAATTAAAAAAAGAAAAGAAAAGAAATGTAAAGGAATCTCAATTTCTGTGCGACTTTATGGATTATGTGTTTCATGCATTAAGCTGGTTTGCTATTGCAAAGACTACACTGTCGTCCTTTCTGTTGAAGAAAGCCACCGGCGAAATAAGCATCCTTAGCAGACAAATTGAAAGACTTTGAGAAAGGTTTTATTTTATTTTATTTTTCTAAAAATAAAGCCCAAAGCATCTCTCCTCTGTTCCTGAAACCAAAAAGTAGGTTACTGCAGCCAGAACAAGAGGTAATGATTATTATAGAAATCTATCCCGCTCCCCATCCATCCCAGCCTCCTGGCCTTTGAACTTTTTCTGAAGCGTCCTGGGTACCAGGAGAGTGAAGCCCGGTGGCTCAGCAGCTTGGGTCGAGGGCTTTACGCCCCCTCGTGGCCAGCGATTTCCGGGTGCTCCGCCCTCAGGGGCCAACTCCAGCCTGCATCCCCAGCACCCCGTTCCCACTGCACCCCGTTCCCACTGCACCCCGGCACCCAGAGTGGGCTGTCCCAGCCGCCAGCAGCCTGGGATGGGGCTTTTTTAAGAGTCTTCGGATCGGGTCGCCGTCTTTTCTACCGCTGATCAATTTGGAATGCACTGGGGTGGATCAAGGACTTCCTCACACTGGAATGAAACCGAGGCGAGAGGCGCCCGCAAGTCTGTCCCAGGTCCTCCTACCTGGCTCGGTGTGTTAGGTGCCTGCAACCAACATCAAAAGAGACCCTGTTCCAGGATGCGATGGGCATGGCTTGAAGAAAGTGGGAGACACGTAGCAAATCTGGCCGATTTGGAAAATAGATGGTCTCTCCCATCTTCCTGCATATTTTGAATAGATGGTTGCTCATGTTTTCCTGCATAATGGGTAAGATTTT